CACGACGCTCTTCCGATCTCCCCAAAACCCCAAAACCCCATATTATATGAATACATCTGATAAGGTGAAGTAATTAAAACAAAATATCTTAAATTCTTAATGCTTAGATCGTACTTTTGTTTCTGAATAGCATTCAGGATAAATTGAAATTTCAGACAATGTTTTTCTAATTACTTGCTCTTTGAGTAATCTCTTCCTTATCTTCCTCTTCCTCTTCTTCATCATATTCTTCCTCTTCATCTTCTTCTTCTTCCTCCTCAACCTCGTCTTCAATCTCTTCAACCTCTTCACTTTCCTCAAGTTCTGAACCTTCAAGCTCTAAAATCTTAAGTTGAGATTGAGATATTTAGTTTGTAGGGATTTTAGTTTGATCTAGAATCTAAATAGTATTAGGAAGTTGCTATGATTGCACCAGTTTTTGTTGTTATTGATTAACTATTTGATACTATTGTGATTAAATCTGACCTTATTTTGAGGGTTGGTCTTCAATGATTGATATCGCCTAAGATTCATTTACTATCGGAGGATTGGCGACTAAATTTTTAGGTAAATCTTGCAACTACTTGCCCAAATTTTCTATCAATTTTTATTGATCATTCTCTTTCTTAAGGTTTTCTTCAATTTTACCCTCAATTATCTTTATTCTTTTATAGAAATCAGCAATAATCTAGTTTTACTGATCTTAAGTGTTTGATTGACTCTATTAACTTTGCGAGAGGATATCTAGTTTTTAGGAAAGTTATGATACCTGACTAAGAGATTATGATATTCGCTAGAATTGCTAATCCAGCAGATCATTAAGCTAGTTTTAGCTATTAGCTGGATCGGCACTAATTGACTTCTTGATATGGACAATGTCCTCTTATAGTTTCTTTGTAGAGGTGATTAATAATCCAACCTCTGCAAAATCTGGACTATTGAATCTGAATTAGTTTGAATTATTTCCAGCGAACAGTTTCTTCATTAAGAATTAAGAAACTACTACTGAGAGAATGAGTAATACTGCAAAAACCAGTTTATCCATAGGATGGGGAATACCATAGTGATCTCTAAGGATTTTTGTTTTTTAGAGACTAAACTCATGCATTTAATGAAGTTTATGTTCAAGGTTTACTAATGAATCTACTGCAATTAAATAATCAATCAATGAGAAGGCTACTGCTGCTTAAGGTGGCATTGTAAGTAAAGTCTTATTGATTTTAAAATCTAGATGTTTATCTCTATCTTCATGATCAGTATTTTAGATTTTAAGATTTTGATTTTTAGATTATGAATTTTAATCATCATCATAATCATTATCATCATTAGTTTCTTATGTTACAGTTTGAGACTATTAATATTCCTCTTAAATTTGTTCCATATTGATGTCGTGTTGCTATTATATTTACTATTCAGTCTGATCACTCATTCCTTATTGTGATGCTAGCCTTGCTAATTCTAATTTTTATCTCTCAGCCTCCTCTTTTAACAAGAGTCTTTTTTGCCTTTCCATTTCAGCATTCTCTCTTTGCTATCTCTTTTCTTATTCTCTTCTTTCCCTTTCCTCTTTCTCCTGCATTTCCTATTCCTATCTCTTTCGTTCTGCATTTAAACTTTCTAACCTCTCTTATTCCTACCTTTACTGTTGCTCTTTTTCTAGACGTTATTATTCCTCCAATTATCTCTATTTCATTTCCAATAGTTCTTATTCCTATTTTAACTTTTCTTGAATCTCTGCTAGCTAAGCTTATTCTTCAAGCATCTTTTGTTGTTATTCAGCTTCTCTTTAAATTCTCTCCTATTCCGATTGTTCTTACTTTTATAATTCAATTCTTTCATTTTCTATTCTCTCTTATTCTCGCCTTGCTTGCTCTTATCTTTCTTACTCTCTTCGAATCTCTTGTAATTATCTCTCTTTTTCCTCTGCTTCCTCTCTTATTCTTTTTTCCTCCTATTCTCTTTGTAATCTCTCTTGCTCCTCTTTTTATTATTTTTCTTCCTATTCTCTTTACAATCTTTATTCCTCTTGCCTAATTTCATTATCAATTCTCTCTTATTCCATTCTAGCTTCCATTTCTATTTTTTCTCTTTCAGCTTCCTCTCTTTAATACTTCTCAATTTCATCGGCTTCTTTTTTCCTTTGTAATGCTTCTGCCTCCTCCTGTTCTTTTTTAAGTCTTTCTCTTTCCAACTCTTCCAGTCTTTGTCGTTTATTCTCTTCTTCTTTTAATTCACGTTCTTTTTAGAGCTGTTCAGCCTTTCTTCGACGTATCTCCTCAAATTTACGCTTTTTTTCCTCCTCCTATTTTATTTTCGTCAGCTCCTCCTGTTTTTTTCTCAACTACTCCTACTCCTCTTATTCTCTCTATAATCTTAACTCCTCTTCTTTTTGCTATCTTTTCTATTCCTCGTCAAACCTCTTGAACTCTTCAAGTTCTTACTCTGTCAATTCAATATCTGAAAGGTCTAATGGATTCTGATCTTGTGATTATTCAGATTTATGTTGATCTTAGTTGGCTTATTATTAGCTCTCATGTAAGAGATGTATATTTTGATTTTACTAGTCAGATTATTCTTGAGTGCTACCTTAAATCTAATCTTGATTCTCATTATTCTAATTCTAGTGTTGTTATCTTTATGCATCATCTTCTGCAAAACTCTCTTAGTTTTATTCTTATGTATACACTACTCCTGATATTAATGTAACTATTACAATAGACAAATATATGTGTTTTTTCATTTTTTATTATAAATTATTCATACGTGTAAAAACTTGGAAAAGTAGTATCGAGGGGTTTTGGGGTTTTGGGGTTTTGGGG